ACAAAAGATAAAATGTCTATAATGACAGTAAAACATTTCCAATTGCTTATGTATTCAAGGGTTTTTTGGCAGCATGAAAAGGATTTGTACTTCAAATTTGAAAGTGAGAGGTGGTGGAAGTAAGAATTGATTAATACATTGTGCTTTAAGAAGAATACAATGAGAGTATTGTCCAGGGTGTGATTTCTAGTCACTTTAGCAGGTGTTACCTAACTCAGCCATGGAGCCATCATTTACAAAAGCCTCAGAGCATCTGGAATCCTTCTCCTTGTTTTACAGGTAGGTAATGAAAACCCTCATTGAAGGATATTTCTCAGCACTGTTGAGATTGTTAAAACGAATGCCGAGAACAAGGGCCATAGTGAATTTGTGAGGATCCAAGAAATACATACCATACTATTTTGAAATGTAGCCAGTAAGGTAACAGAGATCCCAATTAGAAAATGACTATTCATTCTTGCTACCCTGCACCAGCAGGACCTGCAGGTCCAAGCCCAGGTGCAGTGTGGGTGAGACCCCCTTCTACCCCCGTTGGCCCCCCACACCACTCTGCAGTACCCCCCAACCCCACCCGCCCAGTGAGAATTTCTGCCACATTCTGGGGACCCCCAGATCCAGCCCTAGCCCAGGCCCAGTGAATGTGTGGGAGAGCTTCCTTTCCCCCTACTCCACCTTGTCCCCTCCAGACTCAGCTCAGGCCTGGACTACAGGCCTGCCCAGGCCTGGGGTGAAACCTTGCAGCTGCAATCCCTGCAGAGAGTGTAGGAGACAAAGCCACCCAGCTAGTCCAGGAGCAGACCGTCTTGCCAGCGAGTCACAACAGGATCACTCCCAAGGGCAGCAGCAGGAAGGAGCTGAGCACAGCAGCCAGACCCAAGCCAGGCACAGTAGGAGAAATCCAAACTTTGTAGATCTGCACCTGAATTTCAGTAAGTGCTGAGGTTATAACTTCACTAAAGCTCTACAACAAAGGTCAGAAGACAGTGCTACACAAAATCACAACGAGAAAGATGCAATCTCAGACCCCAAGCCCACCCATAACAAGAGCAGAGGACACTAGCACAGAACAAATTGGGAATCACACAGCTGAAATCAATGAATCAACAGCTTCTGAAATAAACAACTGGAGAAAGGTATAGAGGAACTCAGATTGAAAATGAAAAAAATCCCTGAATAGCATCTGCAGTAGAGAATCAAATGCAGAAACATGGAGGAAACCCAATACCCACCCAGAACGAATGCAGAGGACACTAGTTCAGCTGAAATGTATGAATTAATAGCGTTGATAGTAAATAAGCAACAGCAGAAAGTTATAGAGGACTTCAGAGCAGAATTGTTTTCTACTAACTCAGCTCAAATGTATGAATTAATAGCGTCGATAGTAAATAAGCAGCAGCAGCAGAAAGTTATAGAGGAACTTAGAGCGGAATTCTTTTCTGAAATAGAAAATGACTATTCAGAGGGTGCTTTGGCATCGTGTGGTGGGTATACGTTACCTGTATCTCCGTACCTTTAATTACTACGCTGTGTCTTGATGCCCTCCAGGGTTTTTGCCTGGGAATCACTGTGAGGCGTGTGAACTTTAGACTTCACTTGTTTGACCTGTTGGAGCTTGCTGTCTGCCCCCACACTCTTGTGGCAGTCTGGTTATCCATAGCCTGTCGCCAAGCATTATGGGTTTTAGAAATACTCTACCCCATCCTGTGTGTATGCATTTTCTTGAACTCATTTAAAAGTTTGACATGCTAAGAACACTCCCAAGAAAAAGATAGATGCGTGAATTGTGCAGATAGTTGAGGAGAGTCACAACCTGAAACCCATCCCCAGACCTTGGTAGGAAACTAAGAGCTAGGTAATAGTCCTCACATCCCCTTCACTATTGCTTTCTTTTGACATGTTAAAAATGTGTACGATCAAGTGGTATGTTTATCTGTAATTCTAAAATCCAAAATGCTCTAAAAATGTTTTCTCTTAAATCATTTGAGTGAAAACCTGCCTTGAACTATGTGAAGATATTTAGACACTATATATCTCTATTAGTGTGAATATTTTTATATTTCATGGAGACAATAGCATATACAATATCAAATGTCTACCATCCTGATATCTGAAGCCATTGAGATGAATGCTTTGTAGTCATTCCCTATAACACATGCTCTATTTCATGCCCACAGTTATGTAGGGCTAAATTAGATTTTCTTTCTCCTTTTATTTTTATATTTGGTTGTTGTAGAGTCTTACTATGCAGTGCAAACTCGTGGTGATCCTCCTGCTTTCAACCTCCTCAGCGCTGGGATTACAGGTATGCTTCACCATGCCTGGACTCTGGCCAGCTCCGCCCACCCTGGGGTTGGGACTGGTGCTGCAAGTGGTGCCAGGGATTGGACCGCAAGTCCCTGTGCTTGCCTGAGCTTGCCTAAGCAGGCGCTTTAGTCTGCTGAGCTATTTTGCTAGCCCCTTTTTCCCTTTTTAATTCTTATTGTACAAACATGGATATAAGACACTGAAGAGCATGTGTTAAGAAAAATTATTCCAAATTTGGAATTAGACAAAAAGAGATCACTGGAATAAATTTTCAGTGAATGGGTATTTTTTTTTTAGCTGGCTCTGGCTGTTAGTAATTTCATAGGGCTATGCAACTTGGATTAACTTTCTATTCACTCGGTTCTTTTATAACTTCTCAAGAATAGAGTTTAATTTGTAGTAAATGGCTGAAAATGTGAATTATTTTTATCTGAGAATAATGCTAATTATATGAGACCACAGCAAATCAAGTGAAGTTTTTCCATTTTGTTTGAATTTTGTTCTTTAACTCTTCCCCTATGAGGGTGACACACAGGCCCTCAGGCCTAACTACGCTTTTGAGTTGGTCCTCACTGCAATGTAGATTTGAATTACATGTGTAAATAAACATTGTTCTCTTATAGAGCAAGGACCTTTTTGAACCAGGGATTGAACTCAGGCCCTTGTGCTTGCCAGGCAAGCACTTATTCTACTGAGCCATCTCCCTGGCCTTTGTCTCTCGGAGAGGAAAACCAATTCTAAATACTGGTGTCCTGTAGGATGTTAACTTTGTATTTTTACAATATCATTTCAGAAGGCTTTTGATGGACTGACAATATACATTTTCATTTTTTGAACCCTGAACCAGTTCTAGCATCTTAATAGTTCCTCATAAAATCTTTGATATATTCATTTTATGTTTACATAAGTCATTATTATAACTTTGAAAACCATAAAAGTTCACATAGTTGATCAGATGGGAAAATATGAAATAAGTAATAAATGGCCAATATGGACTTCAGGGGCTTTGGGGGAGCCTCTGGGTGCCTTCATTTCTGCATTCCTTTGATTTCTTTAGCAGACAACTCTGCAGTATGAAGTACATGGAAACGGATAATTTAGAAAACTAAGGTGCAAACCCTAAAGTTTATAAGTTCTGAAGTTGTTAGTAGTTGAGTGTTAAAATTATAAAGAAGAAAAAAACCCCACTTCCTCTACCTTCCATGACCTGTGAATGAAACTAACAAAAGATAGATTAATAAAAGGAAAAATCAGTTTATTTATACAGTGTAACTCCAATACATCCAGCAGCGGGGAGGAGAGCGCCTCAGCAGCACAGGTCTGGGGGATTGTGTGCTGTTTAATGGGTAAAGCGTGAAAGAAAAGTACTGAGGGGAAAATGGTGATTTTTTTTTAAAAAAGATAAATAGATTTTCAGGAGAGCAAACAGGAGATGAGAAATTTTGTAATATTTGTTCATGTGGGTGTGAGTGGTTGTTTCTCTTATCTCCTTCGTGGCCACAAAAACGTCCCTGAAGAAGAAATTTGGGATGGCTTTAACTTGCATTCTCTCTTCTGGGAGAAGATCTGCCCTGAATTGGAATTTATGTTTGCCTTATTTCCCAGAAGTTGCTGCTATTAGCCAGATAAGGCCCCTCCAAGGCAGTTTCCCCTCACACACTTGTGAATCACAGATACCCTCAGGGTGAAATAATCTTTCTACCCAAGTGGCACAGTTGAGAGTGGCGTAGTCTGGTCTTTCTCAGAAGAAAGACATGAAGAGATCATTATAAAGTAACGATAATAGGTGGGGAAGAGAGTAATTACTTGAGACCTTATTGTGTCCTTAGATGCGTTTTGTTTATTTTTTTGTGGAACTGGGGATTGAAATCAGGCCCGTGTCCTTGCCAGGCAATCACTTATTCTACTGAGCTATCTCCCAGGCCCTGCTTTATATTTATTAAAACCTCAAATTGTCTAGTTTCATCCCAGTTTTATCATTAGAGCACTGAAAATAAACTGCTCTAATAGTTATGAACAGCATGCTATAAGAACCCACAAAGTAATCCCAAATGTTCTGACTCCTGATACCAAAGCAAACCCTTCACCTCTTTCTCCATTTATTTGGTTATCTGTGGACTCAGGCCGCCCCTGCCCGAGGAGGAACCATGGGAAACCTGGCACAGCCCTCACCCGTGCAGGCACTGCGTCTCAGCGTGTTTGGGGCTCTTGGGCTTGGCATCAGGAGCACCTCCTTGCTGTGTCTCTGGAGGGAGAGAAAGGCAAAGTTAGTTAATTTCCTGGGGTTTTAGTCTCAGCACTACCTAGAGTTTTGGATAGCTGGCATTTGGGAAAGGATGAGGAAGTGGCACTTAAGAGGTAGGTCTCAGAGTTGGGTTTTACCTGGGACTCACCAGTGATTGGCACCCTGACCTCTGTCCCTAGTGCCAGGTAGAGTTGCTAAAGGTGGATTATAAACACAAGCAAATATTGACAGAGGTCAGGTCAAGGGAAGACCACTTCATCTATGTCTGCTGGGAAAGGTTTAAACCTGCAGTTAGGAAAACGACTGACCGGGGCTCTGAATTTGCATTCCTGGAAGCTGGGAAATTTCTGAGTTTTAAAACTCTTTGCTCTCTTTAGCCATTTCTCTGTGTTTTTGCAGTCTCTGTCCACACTGATTTCTTTACTGCTATTTTTATTTCCTGTTGTAGGATTTTTGGAGTTGTTTTTTGTTTTTGTTTTGTATCTCCCCCCACCTCCCTGCCAGTTTTCTAGGGGAAGAAAACCAAAATAACCTCTCTGCTAGGAGGGATGTGGATGTGGTTGGTCTGGTTTTAAGCAGTGCTAGAAGATCTATTTGGATCCAAACTAGGTTTTTGTGCTGGGTTAATTCCAGCGTGGGTCAAGTCTTTGGTGCGAGATGTTCTGTCAGATCATGTGCTGCCTTGTCTCTGTGTGGCTGACTTCTGCCTCTGCTGGTATGTATGCTTTTCTTAAACTCAGTTTATAGGACACTCGCTGTCAGTTTGTGGATTCTGAGGCATTCTGCTTAGAAATTTAGTAACATTTATAGTTATTTTTTTTCTTTTTATTGATAAACCTTCAATTAGTTTGCCTAATGCTCCATACACACAAATGTTTTAGTATGTATTTAATGATGATCCTGTTCTCTGAAAGAGTGGTCACCAGTGACTTGCTCTTCTGGGAACAAAGCAAGCCCTGACTTCAAAGCCCTGAGAGGTGGTACATACTCTGAAATCCAGGACTGATGAGCAGGGGGTGTTTTGTGTGTACACCTTGTGCCTGAGTTTGAGTGAGATGCCTATCATCTTTTGGAAGAACCATGTAACTTTGAATATCTTTGGAAGAGGAGGGACAGGGATGTATGTGGACATGGAGGAGAATCAGAATCAGAATCAGTGACCTGGCAGAGAGACGTGTGGATGCCGGAGTCAGACAGGGGCTTCCATGTGGCACCCGGGATGCCACGAGGCTGGGGTCTTTTTCATTCCAGCACAGGACCATCCAGAAATCCCCTCTGTGAAAAACAGCATATCCATTGCAGAGAAGGAGGGAGAACAGATTCTGGGAACTTACACTTGTATCAAGAATTACCACCGCAAAGGAAAGAAATTTTTTGTTTCTGATGCCATTGAGGAGTGGAATGTCTCTCCCGCTGAGTGCCACTGTGAGTTGGGTCTTTCTGCCCCTTTCTGTCATCTCACTATATTCCTTTATATCCTCCTTCCTGGAGGCTATGTTAAAACTGTATTTTAAAAATTCTAATTTCGGGCTGGGGAGGTGGCTCAGTAGCATAAGTGTTTCCCTGGCAAGTGCAAGGGTCTGAGTTCAATCCCTGGTTCCACACACACACACACACAAAAAAAAAATCTAATTTCTAGGAATTCATTTTTAAAGCTCTGTAGAAGTGGAATTTCTCTTAGAAGGCACAAGATTAGCTCTTGATCCATATGAGTTTGGTTGAGTTAATAGAATCAATTTACTTGTATGATAGAGATTTTATTTTAGTAGAGCTGAAATCAACCTAAGGGCTGAGGTCATACTAAGCACCCACTTCACCACTGAGCTGATTTTCTATCCCATAAAGAATTTTTTTTCCATGTAGTAAGCCTGCCTTTTTTGATATAATTTATTTAAAATCATACTGCTTTAAAAATTCTTGTGTTCAATCCTGTACTCCCCGTACTTAAGGAGGCTGAGGAGCAAGATCACAAATTTGAGCTACCTTCAGCAAGTTAGCAACTTAGTGCCACCCTATCTTCACAATTTAAGCAAAAAGAAGGGATGCTGCGAATGTAGCTTAATGTGAAGGCCCTGGGTTCAATTCCCATTAAGACAAAAATCATTTTACTGAAAGAAAGCCCGAAAGTCTGAAAAAATAATCAGATTAACATATATACTCATTTCACAGATTCATTAGTTATCAGTGTGTGACATCCTGTTCCATCTGTATCTTCACTTTATTATTCTGAGATAACAACGTGAAATCATTTATTTCAACCTTCATATAACTGCTGAACTAGGAAAAGTTGTTTTTAATTTACAAGTGTGGTGTGTGGGATCAGACTTGCTCAGTATCATGAAATGTGGGATCCTCTTCAAAGACAGTGAATAATTAACCCACATCTTCTTTATTATTAATATTTAAAAAGAGCCACATTATTTCTTTGTGAACCTACACGAATATCTGCATCAGTCATAAATACGAAGAAATTCATATTTTTCTGCACTTTTCTTTTTTTCTACATCATGAAAATAAAAAATAAAAAAATGATGAATAGGAATATATTTGGCTGGGTGAAAGGAAAATCTTGCCTTAATGTAGACTCAAGAATTTCAGCAACGCATAAAATGACAGGATCATAAATATACTGTTGTCAGCATGTACTGATGTGCTTAGTCATGTTTAGTAAATTTAATTTTCAGTTCATGTGCTGCTTGTGCATGATGCAGACCGTTTCTGCCCAACTTAGAGAGATTTGGCTTTTTTCATCCTGTACTTTATTACTATGTACCTGTCTTCATTAAAAATGGCTGCTTTAAGCTCTACTTTGTATCTTCTCTCTGAAGCCTGAGCACTCTGGCTTTTGCTGTCACCATGTCAGCCGGGGCCTTTCAGCTCACTGCCCTCTTCTTCTGCAGTGGGCCACTGTCCTGACCCTGTGTTGGAGAATGGGTGGTTCAATTCTTCAGGTCCTGTGAACATAAGTGACATAATCGTGTTTACGTGTAATGACCCCTACATCCTCGAGGGCAGCAGCTGGAGCCAGTGCCTGGAGGACCACAGCTGGGCACCTCCCTTTCCCACCTGCAAAAGTAGTAAGTACTGAGCAACAAGGAGAACTCTTACAGATTCGGATTAGCAGTACTGCCCCGGACCCTCCACGGCCTGTGGCACTTTCCTCTTCTTTGTATTTGGGAGAAGCTGAGAATCCAACAGAGGGAAGAAACCTTGACTGAAAGGGTGTCCCTGGGAGCCGAGCAGCATCCAGGGACAGCTTGTTCTATGCCCCTGTGAAGCATTGCTTTGTTTCGACCGCAGATTCACGCCATCACTTTCAGTTCAAAATTAAACTCAAATCACCAGAGCCCTAGCCAAATTAGAATTCCTTGATTAACACCTGTAATTTTTTTATTTCCTCTATGAAGTTTTTGACTACAGTCTCTGACCTTCTATGGATTCTGTGTTAACTGTTTTATACAGTGGCATTCTCCTACCTTTTTTAATAACTACATATGGATGTATCATAATTTATTGTTATATATATAATTGTTGCATGGTCTCACTACACAGCTTAGACTCATAGTGATCCTCCTGCTATCAGCCTCCCAGTACTGGGATTATTAAAGGCATGCGCCACCACACCTGGACTCTGGCTGGCTGAGCCTGCCCTGGGAGCAGGGCTGGTGAGGCAAGTGGTGCTGGGGATCCAACCTCGGTCCCTGTGCTCACCTAAGCTTGCCTAAGCTTGCCTAAGCAGGAGCTTTAGTCTGCCGAGCTATCACACTGGCCCCGACCTCTCTTATATTGATGGTCATTTATTTCCATAGTTTTGCTATTTGGAACAGTGACAAAATGAATGTTTTATATATTCTCAAACCTTTATGTCTATGGCTTTTTTGGGGGGGGTTATTTTTGAGACAGGGTCTCACTGTGCAGTTCAGGCTGGTCTTCAACTCACTTTGTAGGCCAGGCTGGTCTCAAACTCATAGCAATCCTCCTTCCTCAGCCTCCTGAGTGCTGGGACTATAGGCATGTGCCACCATATGCTCTAAGCTATTTCTTTAGGTTATTATTATCATTTTAGTTGAATGTTGAAATGTAAAAGTCATCCTACTCACAAATCTATGTGCAGATTTACTGAAGGGCAAAACCAAGACTTCAATAAAAGACAATACAAGCCATGTTGCTGGAACAGGTTGAGTACTGCAGCGCTTCCTCCCAGCACTGTAAGAATGCATAAGGATGGGGAATTCCAAAGCTGTGGCCTCAAGCAGCATTTCTATCCCCCAATTTTGTTGAACATTACTAGTAATTCTGGAACCAGAAATTAAAATTAGATACAAATATTTTAGTAATCAGATTCATACACACACAAAATAAAATGTTGATTTTATCTAATATCATTCAGGATATGAAGAAATAGCTACTTACATCAGTGAGAGTAAAGTTACTATTTGGATGTACTTTGGCAGTGCTATTACAATAATAAATGGGTAGCAGTTTAATAGCATATACTACATATACTTCTATGAGACCATTCGAGGTTATGCAAAGCATGATACATAGTTCATACATACAGTCAAGTAACCAGCACATAGGTGGCTTCATTTTACATTACAGGTGTGACATAGGTTTAAAGCATTTCTAAATGTCCTCCAAGCCTTTTCTGTTTTATTCAATTTAGCAGTATCTATCCTGATTCCCAACCATGGGGTCCCTGCCTTCTATTACTTAACTGCTCAAATTTTGGAGAATT